GGCTCACTGCAACCTCTGCTTCCCAGGATTCTCTGTTCTCTATCTGCTTCTCCGAATCTCAAGTGATTTTCCTGCCTCAGCCTCCTGAGTAGCTGGGATTACGGGTCCATGCTGCCACACCGGCTAATTTTCGTATTTTTAGTAGAGACGGGGCTTCATCATGTTGGCCAGGCTGGTCTCAAACTCCTGACCTCAAGTGATCTGTCTGCTTCGGCCTCCCTAAGTGTTGGGCTTACAGGCATGAGCCACCACTCCCAACCAATTTCACCCGCTCTAACAAAACCCTTTGTTAAATGGCATCTTTCAACTTGGATGTTCGAAGCTGAACTCTGCTGTCCAGCCTGTTCTCAAAAAGAGAGCTCATGCCTGTAATCCCAGCACTTTGTGAGGCCCAGGTGGGTGAATCATTTGAGGTCAGGAGTTCAAAACCAGCCTGGCCAACATGGTAAAACCCTGTCTCTACTAAAAATACAAAAATTAGCTGGGCATAGTGCACATACTTATAATCCTAGCAACATGGGAGGCTGAGTTGGGAGGATCACTTGAGCCAGGGGGGTAGAGTTTGCAGTGAGCTGAGATTGTGCCACTGCACTCCAGCCTGGACGATAGAGCCAGAACCTGTCTGAAAAAAAGAAAAAAAAAAGAAAAAAAAAAAAAAAAAGCCATCACAGACCCTGTTCATGTTCTAGAAGCTCATGTTCTAGAAGTGCCCAAATCCTGGGCGCAATCATTCTGCTGTATAGATCCCACTATCATATTTTATTTTCCAAAAGCTCTTTCTTAGCGTCTTGTTGTTGAGTAGATGCAGTCTACTGAAAAACTTAGGATCTCTGGAAAACTTACGTCTTTGGAGTTTGATTTTTCTCGTTTTCTATGGTGCCTCATTTCTTTGGGAGTTGTTTGGCTTTTAGTCTCAGTCTTCCTTGTGGGAGGCTGTTGTCAAATGTCTGGTAATCCTATACTGTCCTCTTCACATTTGAGAGTGAGACACAAGTTGATAGGGAGTTCTGTGTCTAAGGGAGGCAGTGATTTTTTGACAGGCTAACTTCACTAGGGGGTGATTGGGCAAGCAAAATGGCCCCTTCTTTGTAGGGCCTTTTCCTGGGGAGCAGTTCCATTTCTCCTAAGAATCCTCCAGGCTTCCTCCTGGAGCATATAAGCCCAGTTGCAAGTGTTCTGGGAACAAAGTGGAGTGGGAAAGCCTATTGCTTTTGTGTGCTCCCAGGGTACCCTGACCTACCATAGCACCACCAGCCATCTAATTACTTGATAATGCATGTCTTCACACTGTTTTGTAAGCCCAATGAGACAGGGACCACGTCTGTCGTTTGCACATATCCTCAGCACCCAGCATAATCCGCGGCACATAGTAGCACTAAAGATGTTGCTGAATGAATAAACAGTGAGAGCTCTGGTACTGGTTCAGGTGAGCCACAGGACAATACAAACGACAGTTGTGTTTGGGATACAGGAACCCCCAAGAATCAGAAGCCTTCTACCCAGGGCATTTGAGATTTCTCCTGGAATTCTAATCAAGCCATTTGCACTCTACACAGCCCACATACAGCCTATGGCTCTAAATGTCATAGATTCTGTTTCTCTCGGATCTATTCTGCTCCTCATAACATAAGCACTGCAGATTAAATGAACAAAAGGCATGCCCTTGGCTTATGACAAATATTGTTTGTTCTTGGTTCCTGCACTAGCACACATTCTAATAATTATCTAAGAAACTCTCTTAAATTGATGATAAGATCCTTATACCGTAGTAGATAACCAGTATAAATTGCTCACCCTCTGAGGGTGGAATGGGCTTTAAATTCTTTTTAAATTCCTTTTAGGTGGTGAAAATATATTCTGCTAGCTGAGAAGGAGAAAAAAAGTTGATCTTTGGGGAAGGAACTTGAAATAGACACACAACTGGCAACCAGCATTTGGACTGAGTGCATGCCATGCTGGGAAGCATATGGAGGAGGGGCAAAGGCAGAAAGGACATGAAGATGAGATGGAAGAGAGAGCAGGGAGAAAGCCACCCTCCAAGGAACAGAGGAGGAAGGAGGGGAAAGCGAGGACCTATGTAGTATTTGGGCTGGGCACAGGCTAAGCTATGATAACAGAGACCCAACTATACGTATCATGGCTTACGGAAGGTAGAACTTGATTCTCTCTCATGTAACAGTCCAGAAATGAGCAGTCCAGGCAGGTGGGGTGGTTTTCCTCTGTGCAGTCTTTCAGGTCCAGATAACTCCTCTATTCCTTAGAGTGTTATTTTTGGCTTTATGGCCACAGCTAGGTCACTGCTCTGTGATCATTTCAACCTAGCAGAAGAGGGGAAAAGCAGAAAAGTGACATGGAAGTTGCATACATCACTTCTGCCTATACTTCCTTGGCAAAAATTTAGCCACACCTAACAGCAAGGGAGGCTGGGATATGAGTGGCCATATGCCCAAATAAAACCCTGTAACTAAGGAATAAGGAGAGAGAGAGTTTTGGGAACAACTAGCATTCTGTCTCACTTTTCTTTTCTTTTCTTTTTTGAAATGGAGCTTCACTCTTGTTACCCAGGCTGGAGTGCAATTGTGTGATCTCTGCTCACCGCAACCTCCGCCTCCTGGGTTCAAGTGATTCTCCTGCTTCAGCCTCCCAAATAGCTGGGATTACAGGCACGCACTACCACGCCCGGCTAATTTTGTATTTTTAGTAGAGATGGGGTTTCTCCATGTTGGTCAGGCTGATCTTGAACTCCTGACCTCAGGTGATCCGCCCACCTTGGCCTCCCAAAGGGCTGGGATTACATGTGTGAGCCACTGCACCCGGCCTCTGTCTCACTTTTCAAATAAATAAAAGCAGCAAATAAGGCCCAAAGGTGGTGTCAGTGACACTGACCATGGGTAAGAGACATGAAGGCAGAACCCTGTGAATCATCTCCTTACCTGGCTTTGCCCACTTTAGCTGCTAGCATCTTGACCACGGTCAGGCAGGGTCAATCACTTTAGGTGTCTGTAAAGAAGAACCTGAAGAGCTTTCAAAACTCAAGACCTTATGATGGTGATGAAAACATTGGCTGACACTGACTAAAGACACATACTAGAACGCACTTAGTTGCACTGAACTAACTACAAAAGGCCACGCAGTGACATCAGACACGAAACTCACAGATCTCCTCACTACGGAGCTGGTAAACACTTACTGAAAGTGGGTAAAGGTACAGTTTCAGTGCGTAACTAGGTTGACCTCACCCACGTAAGCTGGTCAGACAAGACTGTCCATTTCTGTCATTAAGCCCTCATTATTGGTAGCAGATAGCTTTTAGTCTTTGCTTGCTAACCTTAAGATTGTATGGCACTGAACCTTTCCTTCTTTAACTTCAACTCTTTAGTGGTCTTCTCACTGAGACAATGAAAAGGAACTTTTTTTTTTTTTTTTTTTGAAGACGGAGTCTCGCTCTGTAGCCCAGGCTGGAGTGCAGTGGCCGGATCTCAGCTCACTGCAAGCTCCGCCTCCCGGGTTTACGCCATTCTCCTGCCTCAGCCTCCCGAGTAGCTGGGACTACAGGCGCCCGCCACCTCGCCCGGCTAGTTTTTTTGTATTTTTTAGTAGAGACGGGGTTTCACCGTGTTAGCCAGGATGGTCTCGATCTCCTGACCTCGTGATCCGCCCGTCTCGGCCTCCCAAAGTGCTAGGATTACAGGCTTGAGCCACCACGCCCGGCCGGAAAGGAACTTTTAAAACCTCTTTTCCTACTTGGAATCCAAAGTGAATCATAGACCTTTATTTCCATAAGGGTCAGTTTCTGGAACATTATCTAATATTACACATCTCCCAAGAAACACAAAGAAAAAAGTTTAATATACAACAAATTAACCCTCCAAAGTTGGATGAGGTACACTAAGACTAAGATGAGCTCGGAGGAGCTGAGTAATGTAGATCGATAAGCCAGGCATACATCTTCTGCAATTTGTGTGTGATACTCTGGAATATAAACATGTAAGTAATAGAGTTCCCTTGTCCAGTCTGCCTGACTGTCCACTCTGTACTTCAAGGTGAACTTAAGTCATCCAGAGAAGGCCAGGTAGGTGGGTAGGGCCAACGCTTTGCATAATTTAATATGCATAATTAACAGAGCTAGCTTTGTGAAATTCTAATGTTGTATACTGGCCAGTCTACATGATGGTACATGACCTGAAAGAAAGGTATTTTTTCTTATTGCAAGACTCACTTGAGTTCCAGTACCACTTAAACTAGTAACATGGGATAAAGAATGAAACGAAATTATTTGTATGTATGTGTATATACACACACACATATACATACAAAGGAGATATGTATGTGTGTGTGTGTGTATGCATTCTTTGTATATCAGAAAGACAGAATATCCACCTACCCTCTGTAGGAAATACTTTAGGTGCCCTATTCTGTAAGGAATGGAGGAACTTCCTGAAGAGGCTCGGGAGGTTTACATATAAACAGATAAACAAAAACACCCAAATCTTTAGATACTGAAGGAGGCTCACTTACTCAAGTTTGCAGTTAGGAACATACCCAAAGAAACAACAGTTAGGTAGTGTTTACTGCTTCAGAAGAGGAAACGACCTAATATTGCCAAAGATTGACTCCAGTTTTGAAAACAAGTACTGAATATTTAATTGCATCTCTCACACATCAATTTTTAAAGCAAACTTCCATTTCCTAGGAATAAGGAAAAGGGAAAAAAAATGTAATTCATTTATATATTGTTGCTACCTCACTATGAATCACTATTTATCAGATTCCCTTATACTCTAGGAAAAATATAATTTGTAAATATAATAGACCATATTCACAATCACTGCCCTAGCTATAGAGAATTACATTAATAATTTGTTTCTGAGGCAAAGCACTAGTTCAAACATGATCATTTCAAAGTGGAAAAAAAAGTATGTAAAATAAATGTAGAACCTATTTCTCTTTTTTTTTAAAAAAATTTTTCTTCCAACTAATATACTTATTTCTTTACCCAGGTGGATTTTTTGGAAAGAACCCTCTGAAAAACTTCCAGCAGTTGAATTTGGCAGGAAATTGTGTGAGCAGTGATGGATGGCTTGCCTTCATGGGTGTATTTGAGAATCTTAAGCAATTAGTGTTTTTTGACTTCAGTACTAAAGAATTTCTACCTGATGCAGCATTAGTCAGAAAACTTAGCCATGTGTTATCCAAGTTAACTTTTCTGCAAGAAGCTAGGCTTGTTGGGTGGCAATTTGATGATGATGATCTCAGTGTTATTAAAGGTGCTTTTAAACTAGTAACTGCTTAAATAAAGTGCACTCGAAGCCAGTAAGTGCTCTGGGACCTCATTACTTTAAGCCTGCTGGTTAAAAAATCTTGCAAAAGGATGCCAAAGAAGATAAGGAAGTGGAAAGAAGTTTAATTTGATGATTAAAAACATGCAACAGTTTTGTGTCTTAGCTCTCCTACTAGGATTATTGGCTCCTTGAAGGAACTCTCGTTCATCTTTGTGTTACCTTTGGTCTGGGTCACACCAACTGGTGTACTGAATGCATATTAACTTACTATAATGCCTGGCATGTAACAGATTCTCAACAATATTCTCAATATTTGTTGAATATGAGATGATTGAATTATTAATAGCTACTGAATAAAGAAACAAAGATTATTTAAAATCAGAGAGGAAACTCCATATATGTTCTTTAATCCAAACAGTTTAATTCAAACAATCTGAAATGTAAAAAGCACTTTCTGATATTAGAAGGAGATTAGACTCCCAAAAAAGATCAGCATTCTTCAGTCACGCAAAACTTGGCAGTTTACAAACAGCTAAATCAGAGGCTTGAAATTCAGGTCCTCTCCAGTACCTGCTACATTATATGTAATTCCAAACATGACTTCAGAGATTAAAGAAGAAAGGGAAAATGTTTCCCATACTTTTGTACCCTATATAAACTAAGGGTACCCTGCCCTAATCTTTTTTCCAACACTTCCCCAAATAATCCTTCCTTGCAAAGAAAGAAGTCTAAGAAAACTCTCTAATCTAAATATATTTAAGTAGAGGCAAGCCTGAAAAAAACACAAAAACCTAAATGGTGTTAGGCTGCGGTTCACCTATTCTCACGGCACCTCAAATTAATGGCTTGGGTGTTGGTGTAGGTAACACTTGGCCTGTATGTTGAGGTAGTCACTAGATAAAATTCTGGGCACATCTGTTTAGCAAATGGGCACATATTCTACAGATTGAGCCATAACGTTTTGAAGCTGATAGTTTACAGATCAACTAATTAATTCCTCTCCCTAACTTTACAGATGAGAAAGCTCAGATGATTTGCCCATGGGTTATAAAACTACTTCCTTACACAGTGGCAGCATCAGAACTGGAATTCAGATCTCTTGCCTCCTAGGCAATGTTTTTCCCATTATAAATATGGTGACTTCGTAAAGCAGGGTTAATTACACTCCACGGAGCTTACATCTTAATCACAAACAATGGGACAAATATTTAAATTGAACTTCTTTCTCTGTCTAGCTTCAAATGATTCTGTGGCAAGATTTACTAGTAAGGCTGCTGCCTATATGCCTATGCTGGGCAAGTTCCTTATTTTCATATCCAGAAGTTAGTCAGAGCTTGGCAAATAAGGCTTCTCTATTCTTTGTGTCTTAGCTCTCCTACTAGGATTATTGGCATGGGCCAATGTCCCCTGTAACATCTTACATTCAGGAAGTAGGGCCAATTCTTTCATAACTCACAGGCAACTGTGAGTGTCCTTTCTCAAATAGTGAAGGTAGGTATTAAAGCACCTTTGGTGGGACAGATGCACAGGTGTTGCCTCTGAATTGGTGTTGAGGAAGTAGGCATAAAACCTCACACAGAACTGTGTTTGGTACCTAAACACTTTAAAATCCTATGGGGATGGGGAAGACATGCATGGGGTGGCAGCACATACCTCTTAACTCAGGACATGGCAGTTCAGATTTCATGCATGACCCTAATTCACATTTAGCTGAGATCAATGAAGGAAGAAGAATCATCCTGTAATAGTAGACCAACAACAGATACAGTAATAGTTGGAAAACATAAGACAAAGGCCAGGGAACAGGTTGCCTTATTACATTTTACAAAGTATCATTTTCCCCAGTAGTCAAGGTAGCGTAGGCTGTATTTCTTCAGCAGGTCACATGCCTGAACAGGGTTGCAGATGTCAAAGACAATGATCAACTCCTCACTAAGAAAAAGGTATTTAGGACATGGTCACTTATTACCACAGATGACAATTCTGCTTGACAGAGATGGCTTCTTGGATGTTTTTAATCCACAGTGAAGAAAAAGGATTTCAAAGTGCTGCTCCTATTTGAAAGTGAATGAGTTGACTGAAGAAACTGCTGCAAATTCTAGAAAAACAAAAATCTTCCCTAGATAGCTGGCTGATGGCTGGGAAAGTCATAAATCTCCAGGAGCACTGGATTCCAGGAAAGTTGAGTCCATTCTCAAAATCCCTTTTTAAAACTGTTACGGAATGCATAATAAAATAAAACAATAAAAAACCCTTCTAGGTCATGTGTGACTGCTGCTTGTTATACTTTTTGGAAGTAATACTAGCCATGTTAGAAAGTCCTTAAACTCTGCATTTGGAAAACAACTAAAAAATAACATAATCTATGTAATTCTCACACTTCATCACAGTTAACAATTTCCCATTTTTGACAAAGTAAAACAAAAAGAAACTATCCACTGCAGACCTAACAATGCTGTATTCTATAATCTAAGGTCCATTATGCTTTGGTAAAATTATATTTGCTCAAATTCTTTGTGCAACTTGAAAAGACATCAAATTCCATATTATGTATGGAACTCTATGTGTTTTGGTAATATATTTGATATATTTTGTTAATAAAATAAGAAATTAAAAAGCCAATGAATGAAAATGCGTCAGAAAAGATAAATTCATTATGTCAGTATTTGATTAAATGTAACATAGAAAACTGGGATTCTTTCACTGCATATCACCAAAAGTTGGGTAGTCACTTAATCAAAATAAAACACCTAGAACCATGGACTATTTACAAATGTACTAAAATTTTTAAAGGAGAGAAACTTTAACAAAAATCTTGATAATTAAAAATTCAAATTGTGCTAGATAGAATGTATTCCAAAATTGCTGCTAAAAATGTTTGCTTTTAGTTTGTAAGACATAATTCAGGAGAACCTCAAAGAAAAATGTAGCAATTAAATTTGGAAAAGCTATAAAAGAGACTTTTACTTTTTGAACAGACATTTTTTCCTTTCCCAAAATGTGTATTAGTCAAGAAGCATGTTTATAAATTTCACTGAAGAAAATATCAGCCAGGCGCAGTGGCTCACACCTAATCCCAGCACTTTGGGAGGCTAAGGTGGGTGGATCATGAGGTCGGGAGTTTGAGACCAGCCTGGCCAACATGGTGAAATCCCCCATCTTTACCAAAAATACAAAAATTAGCTGGGCGTGGTGGCAGGTGCCTGTAATCCCAGCTACTCGGGAGGCTGAGGCAGGAGAATCACTTGAAACCTGGAGGCAGAGGTTGCAGTGAGCCGAGATCACACCACTGCATTCCAGCCTGGGTGACAGAGTGAGACTCCATCTCAAAAAACAAAACAAAACAAAAACTAAGGAAACCTTAATAAAGTACAGCCTTAAGTTAATAATAATGTATTGGCCAGGCACAGTGGCAGAGCAAGACTCCGTCTCGGAAAAAAAAGAAATATCATATCTTAGTAATGTGACAGATCCACTCCATCAAGTGCCTCTTATAAAGGTAAGGTCACATCACAGTGCAGTCAACTACAAAACCAAAGATACCAAAATCCAAATTTAAAGAAACACATTTTCTAAAGGAAGCCTATTTAAAGCCTTTAACATTTACGAGGATTTCACTGTCACAAATACATTTTACAAAAATATAATTTCATAGGTTTCATGAAATGTGAACAAGCTTACTATTATCTAACATTTAGAGTAAATGATTAAACAGTCAATGCAAAGTTGGATTACTAAATAAATTGGAAGCCAAGGAGTCAATATTCCTCATAAAAATAAGTTAGAGTCCATCATGGTCTTGGTTGTCCAATTCTATTATTAGTTCCATATCTACTTGGTATATTTGTAAAACCAGTCCTCAATCCTTGAGTTGCTCCAATTCCTGGAACTCCAAGTCCTTGATTAAGCATGTTGCTGTAAGGTGTATGTCCATGATTGAGACCAAAACCATAAGGCCTTGTTTGTGTGTTTAGAAGAATAACTGGGTTCACATTTTTCCCAGGAGTGTTAAATGAAAATTCTGGAGGTGGACTACTAGGTTTAGCTGGAGTTGATGTAACTGGGTTCAAATCATCAGCACCCTTTAAAAGAGGCATTGGGATTATGTGATGATCTGTAAAGTTTAGGACATTGGCTGCCACAGGCCCAGACAATAAGGCAGGCCTAATCCAGTCATCCTTGAAAATTTGAACAGTCAGAGTAGACACTAGAGTGTACAGCCTGTTGGTCACATGAGCAAGAACCATTTGTTCATTAGCATCTCGTCGAATTCTTACATGCACTGATCCAGCCTAAAAGGGGCAAAATCATAAGAAAGAGATTGCTTAGAATTATACTAATGAAAATTTCATTAGATAAAACATTTTATTTATGATTTGGTAAGTTCCTGGCATTTTCTTTGAAAGAAAAAGCTTAATGTTAATATTTCTTAAAGACTACTTGCTGGTGATTATCATTGCAACGAGTTAAATACTTTGAGAATCTTTAAAATACAAAAAAAGAAAAATCCATGTAGGAATAAGATAGGCATGTTATAATACACGGAAGAATATAAATGAAGCATACAAAAAATAAATTGTAAGAGCCGAAAAGGTAGGTATTAATTTTAATTGAAGAGGACTTCAAAAGAAGATGGCATTTAATCTAGGGTCAGTAATTAAATGGAATTTCAAAAAGTAGAGAGGCATTTCACACTAAGAGAAAAGCAATGAAAATATATGGCATACTTGGTAAGAATAAGCAGTAATACTAATATATAAAGAAGTCCTGGCTGGGCGCAGGGGCTCACATCTGTAATCCCAGCGCTTTGGGAGGCTGAGGTGGGTGGATTACCTGAGGTCAGGAGTTCGAAACCAGCCTGGCCAACATGGTGAAGCCCCATCTCCACTAAAAATACAAAAAATTAGCCAGGCATAGTGGCATGTGCCTGTAATCCCAGCTACTTGGGAGACCAAGGCAGGAGAATTGCTTGAACCCAGGAGGCTGAGGTTGCAGTGAGCCAAGATCGCACCATTCCACTCCAGCCTGAGTGACA